AATTCCTACGACTCATGGTCCTGTAGCGCAGTGGATGGCGCGTTGGACTTCTAATCCAAGGTCCGGTTCGAATCCCGGCAGGGATGAGGTGTTCCTAAGATATAGACCATGTTGGAAATTGTGTTTTTTTATATTTAGATTCTGTTAGTTTGTCAGACAATCATGAAATCTCTTCAAAAACCTCTGAATGCTTTTCTCCGATTGTGTAACTCTATTTATTTGAGTTTCCTAATCTAAATCGTAGTCCCTGTAGCGCAGTGGATAGCGCGTTGGACTTCTAATCAAGTTCGGTTCCAATCCGGCGGGATGAGGTTTTCTGAAATAGAATGTATTGGTGATTAGTGTTTTACTATTAAAGGGCTCGGGTTCTAATCCCGGCAGGGATGAGGGTTTTTCTTAGACATAGAACATGTATTGGTAGATTATGTTTTTTACTATTTCAAATTCTACATTGAGTTTCTCAGAGACAATCATCAAGGAAATCTCTTCAAAAACGCTCTGTAGGTGCCTTTTCTCCGATTGTTGTAACTCTATTTATTCTGAGTTTCCATAAATTCTACGAAATCGTAGCCGCTTAAGAGCAGTGGATAGCGCGTTGGACTTCTAAACCAAAGAGATCGGGTTCTAATCCCGGCAGGGATAAGGGTTTTTCTTAGATATAGACCATGTATTGGTTGATAGTGTTTTTTAGTATTTGAGATTGTCAGAGACAATCATCAACGAAATCTTTGCACAATCGCTCTGTAGGTGCCTTTTCTTCGATTGTTGTAACTCTATTTATTCTGAATTTCCGTAAATTCTAGGAACTCGTAGTCTCTGTAGCGCAGTGGATAGCGCGTTGGACTTCTAATCCAAAGGTAATTCGTTGTCCCTGTAGCGCAGTGGATAGCGCGTTGGACTTCTAATTCAAAGGTCCCGGCAGGGATGAGGGTGTTCTGAAGATATAGACCATGTATTGGTAGCTTGTGTTTTTAGTATTTGAAATTCTGCATTGAGTTTGTCAGAGACAATCGTCAAGGAAATCCCTTCACAAACGCTCTGGAGGTGCCTTTTCTCCGATTGTTGTAACTTTATTTATTCTGAGTTTCCATAAATTCTACGAACTCGCAGTCCCTGTAGAGCAGTGGATTGCGTGTTGGACATTTAATCCAAAGGTCCTGGGTTCGAATCCCGGCAGGGATGAGGGTGTTCCTAAGATATAGACCACGTATTGGTCAATTGTGTTTTTTTAGTATTAATGATTCTACATTGAGTTTGTCAGAGATAGTCAGGAAGGAAATCTCTTCACAAACGCTGAGGAGGTGCCTTTTCTCCGATTGTTGTAACTCTATTTATTCTGAGTTTCCATAAATTCAACGAACTCGTGGTCCTTGTAGAGCAGTGGATAGCGCGTTGGACTTCTAATCCAAAGGGCTCGGGTTCTAATCCCGGCAGGGATGAGGGTTTTTCTTAGATATAGACCATGTATTGGTTGATAGTGGTTTTTAGTATTTGAGATTGTCAGAGACAATCATCAACGAAATCTTTGCACAATCGCTCTGTAGGTGCCTTTTCTTCGATTGTTGTAACTCTATTTATTCTGAATTTCCGTAAATTCTAGGAACTCGTAGTCCCTGTAGCGCAGTGGATAGCGCGTTGAACTTCTAATCCAAACGTCAGGGGTTCGAATCCTGGCAGGGATGAGGTTGTTCCTAAGATAAAGAACATGTATTGGTAAATTGTGTTTTTTTAGTATTTGAGATTCTGCATTGATTTTGTCGAGATAATCATGAAGGAAATCTCTTCACAAACGCTCTGGCACAACGCGCGTTGGACTTCTAATCCAAAGGTCCCGGGTTCGAATCCCGGCAGGGATGAGGGCGTTCCTAAGATATAGACCACGTATTGATAAATTGTGTTTTTTTAATATTTGAGATTCTAAATTGAGTTTGTCAGAGACAATCATCAACGAAATCTTTGCACAATCGCTCCGTAGGTGACTTTTCTTCGATTGTTGTAACTCTATTTATTCTGAGTTTCCATAAATTCTACGAACTCGTAGTCCCTGTAGCGCAGTGGATAGCGCGTTGGACTTCTAATCCAAAGGTCCCGGGTTCGAATCCCGGCAGGGATGAGGGCGTTCCTAAGATATAGACCACGTATTGCTAAATTGAGTTTTTTTAATATTTGAGATTCTACATTGAGTTTGTCAGAGACAATCATCAACGAAATCTTTGCACAATCGCTCCGTAGGTGCCTTTTCTTCGATTGTTGTAACTCTATTTACTCTGAATTTCCGTAAATTCTAGGAACTTGTAGTCCCTGTAGCGCAGTGGATAGCTCGTTGGACTTCTAATATATATGTCCCGCGATCGAATCCCGGCAGGGTTGAGGTTGTTGCTAAATGATGGAATAAGTTAAGATAGATCGTGTTTCAAAACTCCTTGGGTGCATTTTCTGCGATTGTTGTAACTCTATTTATTCTGAGTTTCCATAAATTCTGAATATCGTAGTCCCTGTAGCGCAGTGGATAGCGCTTGGACTTCCTAGTCAAGGTCCCGGTTCCGAATCCCGACAGGGATGAGGCGTTCCTAAGATTTTGACCATGTATGGTAGATTGTGTGTTTTGTATTTGAAATTCTACTTCAGTTTCTCAGAGACAATCATAAGAAATCTCTTCAAAACGCTCTGTAGGTCTTTTCTCCGATTTGTTGTAACTCTATTTATTCTGAGTTTCCGTAAATTCTACGAATCTGGTCCACTTGGCAGTGGATACGTTCGACTTCTAATCCAAAGGTCCGGCTGAATCCCGGCTGGATGGGGTTGTTCTAAGATAAAGACCATGTTGGTAAATTGTTTTTTAGTATTTGAGATTCTGCAATTGATTTTGTCGAGATAATCATGGAAAATCTCTTCACAAACGCTCTGGAGGTGACTTTCCTCCGATAGTTGTAACTCTTTTTTATTCTGAAAGTTTCATAAATTCACAGAACTCGGGTCGTGCTGATGCCTATACGGTTGACTTCTAATCAAGGTCCGGTAGATCCGGCAGGGAGGTGTTCTAAGATAGAGACCATGTACTTTAGTGATTGTGTTTTTGAGTATTTGAGATTCTGCATGATTTGTCAGATATCATGGAAATCTCTTCACAAAACTTTGGAGGTGCTTTCCTCCGATATGTTGTAACTCCTATTTATTCTGAGTTTCCTTCAACAAACTCGTGTCCCTGACCGCGTGGACATCGCGTTGGACTTCTAATATCTGTCCGCGATCCGAATCTCGTTGAAGGGATGAGGGCGATTCGAATAGACCATTATGTGGTAGATGTGTTTTTTAGTTATTTGAAATTCTACATAGAGTTTGTCAGAGATAATCTCAAGGAAATCTCTGCACAAACGCTCCTGGGTTATCTTTTTCTTCGTTATATAACTCTATTTATTCTGATTTTCCAAGATTCTACGAACTCGTGTCCCTGTGAGTGGATACAGCGCGTTGGACTTCTAATCCAAAGGTCCCGGTTTCATCCCGGAAGGGATGAGGTCGTTCCAAGATATACACCATTGTTGATTGTGTTTTAGCATTTGAGATTCTCATTGGTTTGTCAGGACAATCGTCAAGAAATCTCACAAAACGCTCTTAATTGCGTTTTCTCCGTATTTGTACTTTATTTATACGTTTCCGCAAATTCTGAACTCGTAGTCCATGCTAGCGCAGTGGATAGCGCGTTGGACTTCTAATCCAAAAGTTCCGGCTTCAATCCGGCTGTGATGAGTTCCTAAGATAAAACCATGTATTGGTAAATTGTGTTTTTAGTATTTGAGATTCTGCATTGATTTTGTCGAGATAATCATGGAAGATCTCTTCCCAAAAAACTGTAATTATATATGTCTGAAATATGATCCATAGAATATATGTAGATGGTTTTGAGATTTTGAGAATTCTACATTGAGTTTGTCAGAGACAATCATCAAGAAATCTCTTCGCTCATTGGTGACCTTTCTCCGATTGTTATACTCTATTCCTATGGTTTCCATAAATTCTAAAATCCGTAGTCCCTGTAGGCGCAGTGGATACGCGTTGGACTTCTAATCAAAGGTCCCGCGCAATCCGGAAGGGATGAGGGCGTTCCGAAGATATAGACCATGTATTGGTTGATTGTGTTTTTAGCATTTGAGATTCTAAATTCAGTTTGTCAGAGACAATCGTCAAGGAAATCTCTTCACAAACGCTCTGTAGGTGCTTTCTCCGGTTTTGTAACTTATTTATTCTAAGTTTCCATAAATTCTACGAACTCGTGTCCTGTAGCGCAGTGGATGGCGTTGGACTTCAATCAGGTCCGGTTCTAATCCCGGCAGGGATGAAATTCCTAGATATAGACCATGTATTGTTTGATGGTGTTTTTTTATATTATGATTTGTCAGGCAATCTAAGAAATCTCTTAAAACGCTTCTTAGGTGCCTTTCTCGATGTTGTAACTCTATTTATTCTAGTTTCCATAATTTCAAGAATTCGTGTCCTGTAGCGCAGTGGATGAGCGCAGTTGACTAATTCAAGGTCCAGCAGGGATGAGGTGTTCAAGATATAGACCATATTTGGTAAGTGTTTTAATTTTGCATTGGTTTGTACAGTGTCAAGGAAATCCACCAAAACGCTCTGGGGTACCTTTTCTCGGAAACTTTTTTATTCTGAGTTTCCATAATTCTGAAAGTCGCAGTCCCTGCTAGAGCTGGATTCGTTTTGGACATATATGGTCCTGGGGTCAATCCAGCGGGGATGAGGTGTTCTAAGATATAGACCACGTATTGGTAATTGTGTTTTGTATATGAATTCTACATTGAGTTTATCAGAGACATCAGAAGGAAATCTCTTCACAAACCTGAGAGGTGCCTTTTCTCCGATTATTTGAACTCTATTTATCTAGTTTCCATAAATTCAATGTCAGTAGTCCTGACCAGACAGTGGATGCATTGGACTTCTAATAAAGCTCAGTCAATCCCGCAGGGATGAGGGTTCTAGATATAGACCATGATGGTTGATAGTGGTTTTTTAGTATTTGAGTTATCAGAAACAATCATCAGAGAAATCTTGCAAAATCGTTCTGATTGCTTTTCTCCGATTATTGTAACTCTTTATTTATTCTGAGTTTCCATAAATTCTACGAACTCGTCATTCCCTGTAGCGAGTGGATGGCGCGTGGACTTAATCCAAAGGTCCCGGTTCAGATCCGGGGGGATGAGGGCGTTCCTAAGAATAAACCATATATTGGTAGATGTGTGTTTTTAGTATTTGAATTCTCATTTCAGATTCTAGAGAAATCTCTCAAAACGCTCGAGGTCCTTTTCTCGATTTTGTAACTCTATTTACAGGTTTCTCAAATTCTACGAACTCTGTCCTGTAGGCCAGTGGATAGCGTTGGACTCTAATCAAGCCGGCCAAATCCCGGCGATGAGGTTTTTCAAGATAAGACCATGTATTGTGTAAATTGTGTTTTTAGTATTTGAGATTCTACTTGATTTGTCAGATAATCATTGAAATCTCTTCAAAAGCGTCTGTAGGTGCCTTTTCTCGATTGTTGTAACTCTATATTATTTGAGTTTCATAAATGTCACAGAACTCGTAGTCCCTGTACGCAGTGGATAGCGCGTTGGACTTCTAATAAAGTGTCCCGTCAATCCGGCAGGATGAGGGATCGTTCTAAGATATAGACCATGTATTGTAGATTGTTTTTTTTAGTATTTGAAATTCTACATTGTTTGTCAGAGCAATCATGTCAAGGAAATCTCTTAAAAGCTCTGTGATTTCTCCGATTTTTGAATATTTATCTGAGTTTCCTAGATTCTACAAATCGTAGTCCCTGCGCGCAGTGGATAGCGCGTTGGACTTCTCATAAGGTCCAGGTTGAATCCCGGAGGGATTAGGAGGTTCAATAGACCATGTATTGGTTGATTGTGTTTTTAGCATTTGAGATTCTAAATTAGTTTGTCAGAGACAATCATCAAAGAAATCTCTTACACGCTCTGGTTACTTCTCTCGATTGTTATCTTTATTTAGTTAGTTCCATAAATTCTACGAATCTCAGTCTCCTGTAGCGCAGTGGATAGCGCGTTGGACTTCTAATCCAAGGTCCGGTTTCGAATCCCGGCAGGATGAGGGCGTTCCTAGTCCATGTACTTGTAGAATTGTGTTTTTTATGTATTTGAGATTCTGCAATGATTTTGTCAGAGATATCATGGAAATCTCTTAACAAACGACTGGATGTGACTTTCTCTCGATGTTGTAACTCTATTTATTCTGAGTTTCCATAAATTCAACAAACTCAGTCCTGTACCACAGTGGACAGCGCGTTGGACTTCTAATATATATCCCGCGATCAATCCCGGCAGGGATGAGGCGTTCCTAAGATATAACATGTAAGATTGTGTTTTTGTTATTTGGAATTCTAATTGGTTTGTCAGGACAATCGCAGAGGAAATCTCTTCAAAAACTCTATTGGGTGCTTTCTCTCTTATTTGTAACTCTATTTATTCTGAGTTTCCATAAATTCACTTCAGTAGGTCCCTGCTGGCAGTGGAGTGGCGTTGGACTTCTAATCAAAGGTCCCGGCGAATCCCGGCAGGGATGAGGGCGTTCGATATAGACCATGTATTGGTTTGTGTTTTAGATTTGAAATTTCAGTTTGTCAGAGACAATCTCGGAAATCTCTTCAAAAACACTCTTAGGTGCTTTTCTCCGATTCTGTAACTCTTTTATTCTGAGGTTTCCATGCAAATTCTTGAAATCATGGTTCCCGTACGCAGTGGATAGCGCGTTGGACTTCTAATCAAAGTCCCGGTTCTAATCCGGCAGGGATGTAGGTTCCTAGAATAGACCATGTATTGTTGATGTGTGTTTTTTGGTGTACATAGATTGTCAGAGACAATCATCAGGAAATCTCTTAAAACGCTCTGGTAGGTGCCTTTTCTCGATTTGTAACTCTATTTTTCTGAGTTTCCATAAATTTCAAAATCGTGTCCCTGTAGCGCAGTGGATGCGCGTTGGACTTCTAATTCAAAAGTCCAGCTTGCTGGGATGAGGGTGTTCTGAAGATTAT